CCCTCCCCTTACCCCTCCTACACTTACCCTCCCCCCTTCCAAACACCCCAACTACCCCTACCCCTCCTTAGCCCTCCAACCCCTTATACACCCCCTACTCCCTTCTATACCCCCTCTTCCCCTCTACACCCCTCCCCCCTCTTTACACCTCCAAACCTCCCTTACCTCCATACACCACTTACCCCTCCTACCCCCTCCAAACGTTTGGTCGCACAGATCTGGAAAAGAATACCTAAATTCAAAAAATAAATCGCTTGAAAAGGACATCCGAGGACAAAGTTATGACCGTTTGAAGTTTCACCAATTTACAACTACTTTTTCAAGTTTCAATCTCTGATTTGGTTAAACTTCAAAGGATTGTAACTTTTGCCTTTGATATCCGTTTGACGTAAAAAAAAATTGATCATGGATATTTTTCCGAGATCTATCCGGTCAACTCCTTAATTTGTTTTGCCTTTTTATCTTATTATATTTTATTTATATAAAATAAAAGTTATACTAAGGTATTTAGATAGTTTTTTTGTTCTGGTATTATGTATAATGTCACTACAGAAAAAACAGTGATTAGAGGTGTGCGTTGGTGATCTTATTAATGGTGTTTGTGGTGGGGGGTAGGGGGCAAACGTTTGCATTTTCAAGTTCAAATGAGGTCCAGAGCGGGAAGTATCTAATTTTCCATTTTACAAGTGTTATTTCCCTTGAATTTTTTGTGATATATGACACTTTTTTTTGGCCAAAACTTTTTGTGGTCATCTGTGACGATCTTATTAATGGTGTGGGTCTGTGACGACGCGTGCGTTAGTATCATGATGTAAACGATCACATTTTCAAGTAAAAAGAGAAGGCAAATTCATAATACAATTTACTAGCAAAAGGGAGAAGCACAATTTTGCAGTGTGACTATTATCAATAACCAAAATGAAAAGATCACCAACATGAGAAAGTGGTAGTGGGATTATCCTCAGCCCCTACCAATCCTTTTTACATTCATACTGTAAACTTGTCAAAGGAAATATTGTGTCATCACTTCTAAGGTGAAACTGGAAATATATATCACCAAGAGGACGAGGATGAAGACGAAGACAATTAGTAAATACATGGCAATGCTAAATGGAGAATACATATTTGCAACTACTCTTATTGTATTTTTGATAAAAGATAAGAGCATAGAAATAATGTAACAAAAAGTACAATTGAAACCTTTGTATCGATATATAATTCACCTTACACCACATCAGTCATCAGATGGACTTTCAAATACAAACAAATTTAAGTAATCTCTGATGACAAAAGCTCATGGTCAACATACTCCACTGCTTCAGGTACTTCTTTGATTTCCTATGTTGTCTTGATCAAGCAGAGAGTTCTTTTTTTTTCCCAATGTTTTGTTTATGAAGTTAGCATCTTCATTCATGAGTGAGTTGGTTTCGAGGGGCAAACGAGCCCATTTTCATTTCAAACAAGTCTCGTGCAGGAAAAAATCAAATTTACCATTTTTCATGTGCTTGTAGACCATGGATTTATGATGATCCAGATGTCGATTTTTTTTTGTTGAAATTTTTCATGGACGTCCATTCCGACTTTATTAATGGAGTGAGTTGGTTCCGAGGAGAAAAAGGTGTATTTTCATGTTCAAACTAGTCTACAAATTTTTAGTGATCCGTAATCGAGACTTGTTTTTTGTCAAAATTTTTCATGGACACCCGTTATAACCTTATTAATGGAGTGATTTGATCCCGAGTGGAAAAAGACGTATTTTTATGTACAAACTAGTCCATATATTTTTGGTGATCCGTGATACAGACTTGTTTTTGATCAAAAATTTTCATGGACGTTTATTATAACCGTATTAATGGAGTGAGTTGATTCCGAGGGACAAACACATACATTTTTATGTTCAAACGAGCCATTAATGAATTAAGATAAAAAAATCTTTATTTCAAGTAATAATCAAACACTTTATATGTTACTTCCGTTCTTTATAACTATGAATATGAAATTTTTGTTTACATGCCTCTAACATAGTTGATAAACTATATTCCCTTTGGATAAATATAATAACATATTCAATACCTGACTTACCTTATTTCTTTATATATAATTAAGTGAAGAAGAATGTGGACAAAAGAAATATAA